TGAGGCTGAGAGAGTGTGACTTCTTGCCCAAGGTCACCTAGTGGCTAACATGGGCTAAGTGTGTGTATGTGTGTGTGCATGCTTGGGAGGATCTCTTCCCGGTGGGGCAGCTCCTCTTCTTCCCTTGTTTTCTTCTTTCCTTCCTTCCTCCCTTTCATTCTTTCTTTTCCTCTTCCTTGGGAAGGGCAGTCCTGTCACCTCATCTCTAGGGGAACTGAAAGGAGAGAGGGAAAGAATAATACCTTTATAGATTGCGTATCAAAATGTATTATTGCTGTTGTTGTGTGGTTTCAAGTTGTTTCTGACTTGTGGCAACCCTCAGGCGAGCCTATCATGGGTTTTTCTTGACAAAATTTGTTCAGAGGAGGTTTGCCATTGCCTTTCCCCTGATGTTGAGAGAGTGATTCTTCCAGGGTTACCCAGTGAGGCTTAGAGAGTGTGACTTGACCAAGGTCACACAGTGGGTTTCCTGGTTTTGTTGTTGTTGTGTGCCTTCATTTTCATCTTATGGCGACCCTAAGGCAACCCTGTCATGGGGTTTTCTTGGTAAGGTTTGTTCTGGGGAGGCGTGCCATTGCCTTCCCTGGAGGCTGAGAGAGTGTTATTTGCTCAAGGTTACCCAGTGGGTTTCATGGCAGAGCAGGGAATCGAACCTTGGTCTCTAGAATCATAGTCTAATACTCAAGCCACTACACTATGTTGGCCTTCTGTTGTTGGCATTGGCCTTCTGTTCTTTTATATTTATTTATATCCCACTCCCCCCACAAAGGTTAAAAAACAGTACAGTTAAAGCATACAAAAGCGGGCATTAAAACAGAATTAATGTAGTATTAAAACACATAACTCAGTAGAAGAATAAAATGCAATTTAAAAGATAGAAGTGTTTAAAAACAGTAGATGTTAAAACAGTCAAAAATCCTAAATTCTTAAAAACATTAAAACAGTAAAATTTAAAATTATATACAGATCTCTGAAACCTTCCAATCCTGCACCACAGAGCAGTGGTGATAAGGTCAGTGAATATGATTTAGTTGGCCTTCCTCTCTTGTTTATTCATGGGACAGTTCAACTGTGGGTGCATCTACACTGTAGAGATAATGCAGTTTGACACCACGTTAAGTACTGTTGCTCCATCCTATGGAATCCAGGGATATGTGGTTTTACAAGGTCTTTAGCCTTCTTTGCCAAAAAGTGTTGGTGCCTCACAAAACTACAATGGAGTCATGGCAGTTAAAGTGGGGTCAAACTGCTTTATTTCTACTGTCACCATACAGGGATCCATTTCAGACCACCCACCCTCCGAAAACAGAAAATCTCAAATATTTAAGCCCTATTGATATTAATGGCAGCATGCGCCTGTGGGCGTGCACCATGGGCATGACCCCATTTTGTCCTCCATCATTTGTGGCCCATGAAAAAGTGAGGGACGTGGACGCCAAGTACGTCAAAACAGAGAGGCAATTCTATAGTGTAGATGCACTCTAAGAAATGTTATTTCAGATTAATTAATGTGCATGCTGATCAGGAGTATGTGGTGTTATAATATATGTTCTCTGTGAAGATATTTTTCAGGCCTGGTTCTGTAAATTATTTGGGTCCAGATTTATTATCTGGTTTTGAATCTGTATCCTGGTTAGATGGAGAAATCCTTTAGCTTGTTTTGCATTTTCCTCTAAATCTGAATAGTTCATTGGTTCTTAATAGTAAAATTTGCACTCTTTCAACTTTAGATGTATCATAATTTGTTCAAAGTTATTGCCAACTATGACTTTAGGGTGGAGTGATTCACATATTACTTGACAGCAAACCAGAGTTTCTTATCAAGTACAGTATCAGTCCCATCTCCCTGACCAGTGTATTTGTAAGATGTGCACATGTTTAAAACAGGTGACTGTCACATTCATACATTATATTGTGGGGAAGGGAGTATACTTGTAAGACATTTTGTAGCTGCACTTTTAAAAAAATGTGTGAATTTTGTTATTCTTCCCCCCCCCCCAAGTATGATATTTCAGAGGAAGGAACTGGTAAAACTACCTCTTAAGTATTCGTTGCCATTTCCTATGACATTCTTGGAGTCAATTGTAGGCACATAGACACAGCATGGTATAGTCAGTGCTTTGAGTGTTGGACTACAACTCTGGAGACCAGGGGTCAATTCCCAGCTCAGCCATGAAACCCACTGGGTGACCTTGGGCAAGTCACATGCTCTCAGCCTCAGGAGAAGGCGATGGTAAACCTCTTCTGAACAAATTTTGCTAAGAAAATCCGTTCATAGGGTTGCCTTAAGGCAGTGTTTCTCCATTATTTTCTGTCACGCCCACCCAGGAAAGAAGAAAACATTTCACGCCCCCCCCCGCGCGATCACATGGGTGGGTTTGGCCAATCAGGATAGAGCTACTGGGGCTGTGCTGGGACAATCTCCCTCTTTCCAGCCGTAACGGGCCCCCCTTTATGGAGCCTCGCGCCCCCCCTGGGGGGCCCACCCCACTATTTGAGAACCGCTGCCTTAAGGTCACTGTAAGTTGAAAATGACTTGAAGGCACACAACAGCAAACAGGCACAATTGTCATTGTGTTTTGCAGCTGCCATGTTGGATAGATTGAGAGTTTAAAACAATGTAGTAGGTAAGGGAGCCTTGTTGCTCATTTTTCCTTCAAATCTGCATTGAATTTGTGTAGCTCTTCAGAAACAGCTGGACTGCAACTCCTAGCATTCCTGACTATTGGCAGTGCCAGTTAGTGCTGCTGTTAGCTGTAGTTCAACCACACATAGAGAGCAGCATGATTCCCACTCATTTTAAAAGCATGACATTGACTATAAAGGCCTGTTTCTTATTGAATTTCAATGCCATATATAATATAAAAAGTTGACATTTTTTATGTATTAGTTCTTTTGTTTTTCAGTTTGATGTGGTGATGAGAGAGAGATGTTTTTGTTTGTTTACTTTTCTTCAGGAGAGAGGGCTAAGCTGAGGAGTCGTTTACACCACACCCAATAAGTTAAGTGGATCTCTTAGGGCAGGGATACGCAGCCTTTCCCCTTTAAGGGCCGAGGGACTTCAGCTCCCAGAATCCC